AAGTTAGTGTGAGGAAGTGACGTCTCCCTGACCACAGAAGTACATAGGCATCATCTTTAAGAAGCAGCAGTTCAGACAGCTGAGGGTGAGAACCAGAGACACATGAGAGAGAAGAACGATGGCTGGATTCACACGGATTAACATGGTTTTGTTTCTGATGCTGGAGCTTCAGTTTACAGGTGAGGACACATATAAGGTGTGAACATTACAAACCACAGCTTGATTAATGCTGTTAATGGTATTTTTATCAGGGACTTTGATCGACATGAGCAAAACAAACAAGTCTGATGTCTGTGTTTAACAGGCCAAGTGTAGTGGACTCCTGGAAACTAAAGCTGTGACACATGTACAAACTACTGTTGTGTCTAAAACCATCTTGTCAGATTCTCATTGGTTTTTCATTTGTGTCTCATCTTCTGAGCAGCAGTAGCTGGACAAGTTTCCCACCTCAGTGTCAGAGAAGGAGATGACGTCACTTTGCCTTGTGAAAGTCTGAGAAATGCTCAGAGTCAATGTGATGAAACTAGATGGCTCTTCGTTTATCTAGATAGCAGAACAACAGTAGTACTGGTTAGAGATGGGCAGATTGAAAGAAGAGAGATTTCATCATCTAAATCAAACAGACTGAGTGTTACAGAGAAATGTTCACTGGTTATGAAGAAGGTCACATTTGAGGATGTTGGTCGTTACACCTGCAAACACCGAGGTCAAGACTCTCTGGTTGAGCTGTTTGTTGTTATCAGTGAGTATTTCCATCACGATGTTTTCAGCTCAAACTGTCTTGTTAGAACAAAACACTGAAACATTACAATAACTGTGATTACAGTGATGAAGTTAATGTTACTCTTGTTGTCTTTCTCTCACAATATCTCCATCTGCACCAGTGACTGAACAGAAAGACGGTGATAAGGTGACATTAAGCTGCTACGTGTCGACATTTTACTGCAGACACAAAGTGAAGTGGCTGTATCAGGGTCAGGATGTGGATAAAAATACCAACCTGCAGACATCACAGTCTGACTGCCAGGCCACTCTGTCTTTTCTGGACTCTCACTTTATTTCCCCATCAAGGTATAAGTTACTGACGTGTGAAGTGACAAATGATGTCGGTGGAAAAGTGGAGTTTTCCTTCAGACGTCAGACCTCAGGTGAGAAGATGATGAGTTTGTTCCAGACTAAAACCACTTAAAGGTTTTATTTATTTGACCTGTTTTAAGTCTGAAGATGACCTCATTCTTTCTCAGTTAATTACACCAGATACAAACAAAGTGTTTCTAACTGAACAGTTTCGTGGGTTGTGTTGTTTTTTGTTTCTTTCAGGTGACGACAAAACACCAGCAACAACAAAACCAACAAGAACAACTGAAAAGACCACAACAGGAACCAGAGCTGGTCCAGACCCACTAGGTAGTCAGTCAACATTTAGTGTTTGTTCCTCTGGACTCCTTCTGTCTTCTGTCAGTCTCACTCTCCCCATGTTTAGTTTCTGTATTTATTTTAAATTGTTTCTTTTACCGGCGCCAGCCCTAAGGGGAAGCTGGGCAGTAGCAAGTGGCACACAGCCAATGTGGTACTGTGTTGCCTAAATGTGTGTGTTCAACTATGGCTGTGGATAAGGAGAGAGGACATGTTAACCAGGCCATAGCTTGTTTAATTCTGAAGCTGCACCTGCACTTAGTCTCTCTACTCTCCATAGTTGCGCCACATCACCATTTATCGGTCTGGAGGTGTATAGTGTGAACAAACTTCATGAACAACACAGTGATAAAACAAAAAAAATATAGGGGGTGTCTGTTTAAATGTAAAACTTAAAATGTAGCGTTTTTCAACCCACTACATTTTCAATTATTAGTTTTTATTTATGTATTTGTTTTGCATGTTTAAGGCAAAACTAAATGAAAAATTATTTAATAAACTGTTTAAAAGAATGAACATGACAGTTTTGCCCTGATGGTTTGTGACATTTAAACTCTGGAGTGTAATTAAATGTCGGTGTCGTGGCCGTGGACGGAGACGCCTGCAGCCCCA